TATTCTTAGACATTCTTTAGAATAATCTGTAGATAATTTGTATGACGCATAAAAGTATATAACGTGATCTATCTGTTGGTTTGAATGTTTAAATAAAGAAATATATCCTCCTATAAAAGAGAAAAGGAATTTTCGGTTTTGAAATAAAGATAAAATAGGGACAAAATATTACCTAGGAATAAAATAAGATAAAAATAAGGTATAAATCGTATATTTACAAAGATATAAAGAATGAGAGGATTTTATCGGAATGTAATAATAAACACAAAAATACCTTTCCGAAAACAGCCAATTAAAACCGATTAAAACAAAAGTAATCCGTATCGATCGGGATTCTTGCACTGAGAACAGCATATTAAAATCGATTGATGTGCTTTATACGGATTATAATTGAATCATATGAATCTATTTCAATCATAAATTCCTTTATTCCACGAATGAAAACGAAATCATATTTAATGCAATCTGAATTCAATTTTATTGTGAACCAACAAAAGTAATTCAATTCAATTGGAATTTTTCCGATTTTGCAGACGATATTGGAATCTGTTTTAATGAAACGATAGTCCGATTTTCTCGCAATCGACAAAAGTAATCCTATTTAATCGGAATTTCTTCGATTTTGCGGACGATAATGAAATTGTAACGAGAATTTGATTTTGCTGTTTTTGATCAGCAAAAAATATTCGATTTAGTCGGAATTTCTTTCAGTTAACAGTTGAAAATTAAATCGGATTTAACGTAATGCAACGTAAATCCGATTTTATTGTGATTGATAAAAATAGTTCAATTCAATCAGAATTTCTCCGATTTTTCGGTAAAAATTAAATTGTTAATGTACGTATTTTTATTTATAAAATTTTATTTTCATCGTTACAAATACATTTAATAGAAACAAAAATATGAAATAATATATAAATAAAATAATATTAAATACACCCTAAAATTGAATAATACACTTAGTATATATTCTCTCGTTTTCGAACGAGAAAATGTGTATACATTTGTGCATATATACAGAAAGTATAATTTTAAATACGATTTATTTTTTTGAAGAAATAAAAGAGATACGAAAAAATGTTTCAAACAATATAGGCGAGTGGTTTATCGAAAAGTCGCTTAGAAAATGCATTAACTAACTAATCAAAGTTCTAGCGACTAATCAAAGTTCTAGCGACTGAAAATGATTGGATTCGATTCCTCATATTATTCTGCGAAAAAGTACCTATATACACTTTATTTTTTTAAGTGGTTAAAAAGTTATAAACAATTTTTTGTTTAAAAAGTTTAAACTTTGAACAAAAAATTCCGAAAAATTCTTTAAGCTTAATTGGATCAAAATGAACATTTTGTCTCTTAGACTTTTTTGATAAAATCAATAGTTTTTGAGATAAAAAATGTCAAAGCTTAAAAAATGATTACTTTTATGATTTTTTTCTCACAAATTAATCATCAAATCAGTACGAAAATATTCGGCCAATCTTAAACTATAATAAAAATTTTATTTTATTTTGATCCGATAGTGAAAACTTTATTAGAATGAAAGTCTGAAGCTCACGCGTCGCGGACGCGCCTTCATTCTAATAAACTTTTCACTGTCAACAATACGGATTAAAATAAAATAAAATTTTCGTTTTTTATTCGTACTGATTGGATTAGTTTAAGATAAGGTTAATAAGATATAGGTTAAGATTGGCCAAATATTTTCGTTTTTTATTTGATTTATTATTTATACTAATTGGATGATTAATTTGTAAGAAAAAAAATCGTAAATGTAGTCATTTTTCAAAAACAATCGATTAAGGAGATGTGACATTATTTACCAAAGTCACCAAATATTGATGTTTCATTGTATCATTAGGTATAAATAAGCTGAATAATTAAAATTAATATACGAAAAATTAAATTCTTAAGTCTCCAATAAACAAAGAAACGTTATTAATCTAAAATAATTCGAGCAAAAGGATCATTTTCAACTTTAATGATTTCAAAATTATTTATATATCCCATTTCTTACAAAGTACGCGATAAAAATACTTAATATTTAATAATAAGAAACTTAATATTTAATAATTATCATTTCTGAAATTAATTCATTTATTTGAAAATATAATATATATATTAGTTCAACATCTCAACACTCAGACCGTAGTGGCGCTTCATATTTAAATTAATGTTATTTAACATAAACGATCTTGTTTCCAATCTTATTGTTTATACACGCGCGCTGAAAAATGCGTTACTCTCTATACATATTGGTTATTGCGAAGAATGTTGCTAAGGTCTCGGTAGTCTAAAGGCTCAGGACGCTCTCACGGAATGCAAGAAATCCGGGTTCGACTCCCGGCCGAGGCAATATTTTTCGTAACAAGTTTATTACAGTTTTTAAAGATTAATTTGGGAAATTTGGGGGGTGTGCGGGAATGCACCGCGCGGAAAGATTCGAGTGAGAGAACGGCACACGGTTGATATGATACACGACAGTAAAGAGAATTCCGTTTCTTTGTAATTTAACAAAAGAATTTTCTTTAATATGCACAGTTACAAATTCAGAAAATATAATTAATTAAATATTAGATTAACAGAATATTAAATGCGGTCACCTTTTCCAAATTGTATTTGGAATCGCGGTGATGGAAAATCTCGGCGATTTTCTCGGCACTTCTCGAAAAGATCTGTCTTATAGCGGTTTTCACTAAGCGGTTAGCACGGCGGTTTTACGAAACGATATAGTAGCGAGACTATGACTCTAAGAACTCTAAGAAGGAGGAACGGCGAGATCGAAGCATTATTGCTTTCGGCCTGGGCTTTCTTCTTGGGAAAAATCCAATAAAATTTTGCCACAATGTAATTATTGCGTGGCATTAGTTGTACAAAATTGATTGGCGCTTTGGATTCTTTTCTAACGTTCAACGTAACAGTCATGCGCGACAGAAAATCCGTACGTGGGATTGGTGACAACGCGTGACGTATTCGTCGGAGCGCGGCGCTCGCGTGCGACAATTGAATTGTTCTAGAACTTTCGATTGTCCGTTGCCGGAACTTATTTGCGTGTACCGAATTGGTTTAAAAAGATTAAGAAAATTTTAACGAGGATTAAGATTATGCTCGAGATGAAATCACGAGCTCACCTTATGCGTACGTTCAATAACAATTACTGTCGGGCGATCGCAAGTACTTTTTTTTCCGAATTACCGATCTCAAACAGGGGGATTATTAATATTTCAGATTGATTGCGTTGAAAGTCCGACAACCATATCGGCACGTAATTATCATTTCGGAAATTAATTCATTTATTTGAAAATATATATATTAGTTCAACATCTCAACACTCAGACCGTAGTGGCGCTTCGTATTTAAATTAATGTTACTTAATATTTAATTATGAACATAATATATTGTATGTTATTTGGTAGAAACGAGTATAAGTCGAATACTTTTATTGTGGAGACGGAAAAAATTAATTCTCGTTGCATTAAAACAGATTTCAATATCGCAAAATCGGAGGAGCTTTGATTAACTCTGATTATTTTTGTCGGTGAGAAGCAAATTTGATTGCATAGTTGTATATTAAAAATCTTTAGATCCGAGTTTATTTTCATCCCCGAAATCGGAAAACTGAATTAGAACGTAATGAATTTGGATTAGAAATTATCCACGAAAGTGACATTAAAATCGATTACGATTCTTCCGGAATTGAAATCGATTATTTTTCAATCCGAGCGCGGATTGAACCGTTTAAAACTGATTCCGACCAATTAAAACGGATTACATTTTAATCAATTTTAATCGGTCGTTTTCGGCAGGGTTGTAATTGGCGCTAATTGCGCATTCCGGAAATTGCACTCTATGGAACTTAAGAGGTTTGTTCGCATTGCACGCTCCAACATGTCCAACACGCTCCAATACGTTCACTGGAACAATATACTAGATGTTCGCGTCGCGTTAGAGAATATTTCGTGGATCAATTAAGAACACGCTCCATTTGCCTCACTTCAGAAGTAGGTACAATTGGGGCATATTACGCACACGTAATAATTGAAAACGTGTACTGTATCGAAAAAAATATTTCAGATTCATTTTGTTTAAAAAATTTTATTTAATAAATTTTTGATATAAATATTAGGTGTTGGAATTAATTCGTAGCGTTTTACAAGTGATGGGAAGTACTTTCATTAATGTATTTTTTAATGCTCATGTGAAATAAATAACATTTTTTCATTAAAAAACGCTACGAATTAATTCCAACACCTAATATAAAAGTGTAATATAAAAATATAAAATAATAAAATAAAATAAAATGAATAACACAAACAATAGAAATCAAAGCCTTAAACGGTCTAGCTGGATCTTGAATGTTTGTATGATTCTTATGAAGTTGTCAATGTTCAGTGACAAACAGATTCAGGACAAGTGAGCATGTCATCTAACCTAATCCGTGAGACCACTCGAATGGGTCGGACATGTGCTTCGTTTCGTTTTCGAGTATTTTGTGTTACCTCGATTATTTGAAAGGCGGTTTATACAAAATAAATGCGTTTTTAATAAATATAAAGTTATATTATTTTTATATTATATTATATTATATTTATTATATTATATTAGTAAAAAGAAATCCATTATTTTTCCAATAGATGACTTTAGTAATCTGTATCTCATCTACGTCACGCGTAGACACCTAATATATTAGGTGTACAACTAAATTTTAAAGTGTTTTTTGTGTAACGTATAATTAAACTTAGAATTCAAATATTTTCGCGCTCTTTTGATATGTAGTGGCGCTTAATGTGTACTATTAAAAAACATAATTGACTTCACAAAATTGGAAACTTAATCTCAAAATTAAATGGTTTTAAAATGGCGAGCGACAAGCAATTTATTCGACACTGCATTCGATACGAATTTCATCAAGGAAAAAGCGCTGCTAAAGCATGTGAATCAATTTGTTCTGTTCTTGGAGTCAATGTTGTATCCAAAAGTATGTGTGAGTTTTGATTTAGGCGATTTAAAGAGGATGATTTTGATGTTAATGATAGAGAACATAGTGGTGCTCCTCAGAAGGTTACAAACAATGAATTGCAAGCATTACTCGATCAAAACTCATGTCAAACACAAAACGAACTTGCACAGCAATTTGGAGTAACTCAACAAGATATTTCAATTCGTTTACGGCAGATGGAAAAGATTCTAAAGGAAGGAAAGTGGGTGCCGCATGCATCAAGTGAAAAAAACAAAAATGATCGTCTTGAGAAGTGTTTGAATCTGTACAATAAACAGCATAGAAAATCTTTCTTGTGGAAAATCGTGACTGGTGAAAAGTGGATTTTTTACGATAATTCTAAAAAGAGAAAACATTATGTCCAGGACAATCCACTACATCAACGCCAAAATGCAACATCCACAGCAGCAAAGTTATGCTATGCATCTGGTGGGACATGAAGGGTGTGCTATATTATGAACTACATCCGAATGAAACGGTTAACAGTAATCGCTACAGTCAACAATTGACAATCCGTTTAAATCAAGAAATCGAACGAAATCGTCCATTTACTGGCAAAGGAAAACGTCCTGTGAAATTGCTTCACGACAACCCTAGGCCTCATGTTGGTAAACCTGTAAAGGAAATGTTGCTAGCTCTTGGTTGGGAAGTTCTGCCGCACCCGGCGTATAGTCTAGACATAGTCCCTTCTGATTATCATTTATTCCGGTCAATGCAAAACGCCTTATCCGATGTACACTTTTGACCATTTGAAGAAGTGCGAAAGTAGGTGGATAATTTTATCGCATCGAAAGACGAAACCTTCTTCGTTTCTGGAATTCGCAAGCTGCCCAAAAGATGGCTAAAGGTCATAGATAATGATGGAGATTATTTTGATAATTAAGTGTGTTTTCGTTTCTAAATAAATAAATATTAAAAACACTTTAAAACTTATTTGTACACCTAATAATATATATAACAATATAACATTAATAAAATAAAATAATAAAATAAAATAAAAAATTAAATAAAATAAATGAAATAAGAAAATTTGCAATTAGAATTAATTATTTACAGATTTTAATATGTTAGTCAACATTAAGATCGTTTCGAAGATGCGAATTGCATCACATATTTGTTAAATTGTTAGTCAATTTAACTCGTGATAATACTACGGTAGTTTAGTAGAGTTAGCGTTTTCAAAGACCGACAAATCATTTCGGCGCGCCTTTCTGGGGACTATATACGTAGTATATTTATATACGTAGTATATAAATTAACGCAAGAATCATACAAGCATCATTTAAGATCCAGCTAGACCATGTAAAGCTTTGATTTCTATAATTTGTATTATCACACATACAGTCCTATAATATGTTTATTTACGTCACCTAAAAAGAAGTTGTTCCTTTATATTGCCAATTATTGCGAAGAATATTATTAAGGCCTCGATAATCTAAAGGTAGGACGCTCGCATGCAATGCAAGAGATCCGGGTTCGACTCCCGAGGTAATATTTTTCGCAATAAGAATTAATTATTTACAGATTTTAATATGTTAATCAACATTATTAAGATTGTTTCGAAGATGCGAATTGCATCAAATATTTGTTAAATTGCTAGTCAATTTAACTCGTGATAATACTGCGGCAGTTTCTGGGGACTACCCCAATGGAGAAAAAAACATTTTTTTAAACACTTTTAAAAACTTTAAAAAACCGTTTAAAAAAACTTTTAAATAACGGGATTTGTCCCCATTTTTTTCTATTTAAAAAACGTTTATTTAAACATTAAAAAAAACATTTATTTAAAGTTAAAAAACCGTTTTTTTAAATTATTAATTTGAACAAAATTAGAAAAAATATTGTACAACACAGAATATCTTTTGTAATTTACTATTCAATAAGATAAACATATTTATTATTTTTTATCGATAGTACATTTTATTTTAGACAACCAATTTTATTAATTAATAGTAATTTTTAATTATATTTTTTATCTTTTTTACTTACCGGATTTTGAACTTGGGATCTCAGGGTTATGAGTCTCAGACCTTATCCGTTACGCCACTTATAACTGTCGATGGACACAGTTCTTATTGTCCATAAATGATACACTTAACGCAATTATATTGGATTAACTTTTCTTTCGTGTTTATTTTTTTATTTCGGCCCGTTTTTTATTTATTTGAATTTTAGAAAATAATACAATTTTTTAAATTTTTATATTAAACATTAAATAAACGTAAAATAAATGTTTTTTTAACATATTTTAAATAAATAAATAACATAAAACAAACATTTAATAAACGTAAAGCCTATTCTACAATATACTTTTTGTTTCTTATTATTATTTCTTACATCTTGTCTTCTTGTTTCTTATCCGGTTTTTGTTTTATGTCGCCCGAGATAAAAATTAACAAACTTTGAAAGAAACAAGAAATACGTAGCAAGAAATATAATTGTCGATAAAACGGTTGCAAGGGAGAAAAAAGCAAAAGGTAAAAAGCAAGAAACAGGAAACAAAGAGCGCATTGAGGGTAGGAGGGTAGGACAAGCTTCAAACAAACGTTTAAAAAAGTGTTCTTTCGAATTATTATCAATCAAATAATTCGATTATTTCAAATTTAATAAATAAAATAAACATCAAATATACGTTTAAGAATATTCCATTAAATATTTCATTATTTCAAATAAAAAATTAATGTAAAACGAACATTTAATAAACGTTAAATAAATGTTAAAAAAAATCTTATTTTGAAAACGAATCATAAAACGTAAAATTTATTACGAATAAACGTTTAAAAAATATTTAATAAACATTAAATAATAGAGAGGAAATGTTTTTTAAACGTTTATTTTTCATTTCACGATTCGTTTTCAGATTAAATAAATGTTAATCTGAAAACGAATCGTGAAATGAAAAATAAACGTTTAAGAAACATTTCCTCTCTATTGGGACATAACATTAGTACATAATATTGGTTTAACATGAAATAAATGTTTAGAACATGTTTCTTCAAGCCATTATCTTAAATAAACAATTAATGTAAAAAAAACACATTTAATAATGTTAAATAAGCATTTAAAAAATATTTCTTCAAAATACTGTTTCAAATGAATAATTAATGTAAAACGAACATTTAATTAACGTTAAATAAATGTTTAAAAAATGTTACTTCCAAACGTTATTTTAAACAAAAAATTAGCGTAAAATGTACATTTAATAAATGTTAAATAAACGTTCAAAAAATATTTTTTCCAATTAAATGTTTAAAAAATGTTTTTTGAACAGTTATTTCAAACAAAAAATTAATGTAAATCAAACATTTAATAAATGTTAAATAAACGTTAAAAAAATATTTCTTCCAAACATCATTTCAATTTTTAAAAACTGAAGGGAATGGCTAAAACAACGACGGACCAATCACAAGTGATACCCGTATGGCATCACTCTGATTGCAGGCTCTCTACTTTATCCATGTTTTCAGTGCCTCTACAAAATGTCTAGTCGAATGCAACGAAATGGTCGCAGCCATGTTAATTTTTAGTTCGATGCTTCATAGACGTTTTGTAGAGGGTAAAGAAAATACAATGGGAGTTTACTGGCCTTGGACATAAACTGCACAGAAAAAAGGTGCATTCATATGCAAACGTCAAGCAGCAGAAGCAGCAACCAATCAGGACGATACAGGCAGTGGTGTAAAAAATATCTTTTATGTCACTTACTATTGTACGTTTACACGGCACGCTTTACGCCGAAGTTATAACATTGATGTTATAAAATTAGCCAATCACAGTCATTCCATTCTTTATAGGAATAGCTATAATTGGCTAGTTTCATAACATCAATGTTATAACTTCGGCGTAAAGCGTGCCGTGTAACAGAGATCACTATAAAAATCGCCTCGTTGATTGGTTACTGCTTCCATTGCTTGACATTAGCATTTGAATGCACCTAAAATCGTTCTGAATTAGCTACTGCATGCTTCAAAAGTGCTACGAATTCCCTAGATTGTACTAACCGCACTGTGAGTATCAATCATGAAACTTTTTTCCTAGGATGAAAAATGAAAAGTAAAAAATTTCTCCATTAATTTCAATGGTAAAAATTTTCACTTTTCACTTTCCATTCTAGGGATAAAGTTTCATGATTGGTATTGGGTCATCTAAAAAGTATCCGCGGTACTTTGTCACTAGATATATGACCATCAATACACATCTAGTGACAAACAACCGCGGATACTTTTTAGATGACCCAATACCAATCATGAAACTTTATCCCTAGAATGGAAAGTGAAAAGTGAAAATTTTTACCATTGAAATTAATGGAGAAATTTTTTACTTTTCATTTTCCATCTTAAGGATAAAGTTTTATGATCGATACCTAATGGTGTTAATTTTCATTTTTCACTCTCCATCCTAGGGATTAAGTTTCATGATTGATATCCTGAATTCTTAGCACTTCTTCCAGCGCATTCATGGATGTAGTACTGAATGCATTCCATGTTTCATCTTCGAGTTTGATCTCTTTTTTACTTCGTGATGTTGCCTTAGTTTAACAATACTGACTCTCTTATAATGAGATTTTTCACAAATATAAAAAAATAGAAAATAATTTTGCTAAAAATGGACGAAGATGCACGTACACTTTATTGTGGGAATCTAAGTGAGAAAGTCACTGAGGATATTCTCTACGAGTTATTCTTACAAGTTAGTATATAATTAATGTATCCTACAATTAATACATAATGCTTCTGAAACTGGGAATTTTCCAGCAAGAGACAAATTGACACAAGAGTCATTCTGTCCTTGTTCAATAATTAATAAGAAACAAAGACGGAATGACTTTTGTGTCGATTTGTGCCTCTGCTGGAAGATTCCTAAATAATCTAATATAAATATCTGCAAAAAACAACTTTATTGGTCTTATATGTATAAACTTTACATAGCTAGTTCGTCAAAAATGTTGCATTACGCATTACAAGTTTTGTAAATTCATTAATGCAGGTTTTGCGATATGCAATATTGTCAGTAAAATATCTACAAAATATAGCAAAATTTATCGATAGTGATGATAAAAATCAAACAGACATTAAATTGTAAATATATTAATTTAAATAAATTTAATATTCTTTTTTCTGCCATTATTGCCCTAGTTTACACGGATCGTTTAATATTCGTATCAACTGATAATTTTCTATTAAATCTTAATTTCAGCGGTGTATTTAAAGAATATACTAGCATGATATAGCATATCAAGATGATTAATTAATATATATTAACGTGTAAAAGTTTCCGGCCAATGACATTCTGTACTCTAATTTATAAAAAAAAGTCTGTTAAAATTTTAATCATTGTCAAGTAAAAGATTTCATTACTCATATCTTGTATTAACACCTAATAACGATTAAAATTTTATTAAGCTTTTTTTTTAGAAATTAGAGTACAAAATGTTACTAGCCAGAAACTTTTGCACGCCACTATCATGTATGTGCACCACTGAAATTAATTTAATAGAAAATTATTAGTTGATATAAATATTAAAATAAGTATTGTTGTAAAATAGGACATTGTATTACGTGTATGATATCTAGCTGGACATAGGCACTTAATACAGATACAATTAATAAAATCTACTACAGTTTGTTTTACTATCTAATACAGTTTTTTTTTCTACATAGTTCTATCTTGGTAAATCATTAATAATTACTTATTAGATATTTGTGTAAAAATATTGTATAAACATTTGATATTTTTTAAGAATATTTGTACAGAATGCATGTTTTCAGAAAGTAATGACAAAAAGGCTAAGCGATTCCATAAAATTGAAAAATTTTGTTAAGTTATATATTAATAAATAGTAATAAGGCTCTGTACGTATAAAATAATGTGGTACAAAAGAAGGGCAAAGAGCCAGTAATGTAGCAAAGAACTTTAATTTAAATTAGCATTAAAAATTCATATAAACAATTACAATTGACAACAAACGTTTCGACTCTGATCGAATCATTTTTAATGTAGTCGTAATATTTCAACATCGTTCTAAATCAAAAATATGTACATGGTATTACAATACTATTATAATTTTTAATCCTGTATTCATCATTCCGTGTACTATGCTGTGAGTCATTTTTATCAAAAATCAAAGTAGTCATAAAAAAATTCTGGAAAAGTGACCGTGAACAAAAAAAAATTAATATTTAATACAAATTACATACAAATTAGTAATATAATAATGTACTTCATCAGTAATATCAGTAAATGTGTTAAGAGTCCATTAATAAAAAGAGAGAAAAAAACGCAGGTAGATGGTAGTCCATTTCGTGGTACAATATATTGGTTTTTTTTATTATAAAAATTACTTTAAGGAAATTTGCAAAAGTAACAAACATCTAACTTTCACTAGTTAGATAATGTCAAGAAGAAAAACATTAATCGAGAACGAAAAAACCGCAAAATAGGGAGAAAAAAGGAAAGAAGATATTAGGAAGGAAAAAGAGAATATATAATGTTAGAATACAATTCAGGCAAAGACTCTGTGTTATTTTGTTCATGTTTCAGTTTTTTAATATGCCATTTCAGATATTAACCTTTTGTTGCATGAAGGCTCTATATCTATTATTAATATGTCCACTTTATCCCATTTGAAATTGTGATTCTCCTCAATACGGTGGTTGGAAATCATTGATGGAGATTTTGAACTTATATTAATATCTGAAACATGTTCATGCAATCTGGTCTTTAATTGTCTTTTTGTCTGGCCAACGTAACTAACATCACAATCCTCACAAGATATTCTGTAAACTACATTTTGATTATGAAAATGTTTCAACTCACCCTTTCCTCTCTTTATGAAATTTTTTAATGTGTTAGGAATAGTAAAAGCCAATTTACAATTCAACACATTAACGATTGGCATGAATCTTTCAGATATTGTATTGACATATGGAATAGTAAAAAATCTTTCAGTGTCATCCTTATTATTATTCAAACTATTAATATTGTTAATATGATATTTAATTCTATAATGAATAGTCGAGAAAATAAAACGTAAATCCATTCTGTAAAAAAATTTTTATAACGTCAATCAAATTGTTTTGTTGGAACTTCGAATGACACAACCAAAAAATCTTATCCACCACTCCATAAATTACACCTCTTTTATGACAAATGGATGGTGTAAATAGAAATTAAGGAATCTACCGGAAAAGGTTACTTTACGGTATACATCGAAAATAAGATTCGTTCTTCAATAATCAATATGGTATCCAAAAAACTTATTTTTCCGTCAATGCTAACCTCCATAGTGTACTGCAGTCTAGTGTGCAACGAATTAAAAATACCTAAAATATCACCAATACTCTCAGACGGAGCAACCAAGTTAATATCGTCAACATATCGATAATAAAATAACAACCGAAAGAGCAGCAATCTGATAGCCATTTTTTCAAAGTCCTGCATAACCGTATTTGCAACGACAGGTGACAAGGGTGACCCATAGGGGTTTCAAATATTTGTTTGTACATTTTTTTATTAAAGATAAAAACAGTAGAATTCAAAACTATCCGAAAAGCAATCAAAAATTCAGCTAAAGGAATTTTAATTTTCTTGGATGTAGAATCCCACCTTCCAACAACACTATCAGATGCCAAATCTACAGGTATATTAGTAAATAGGGATACCACATCCAAGGAAATCAACATAGAATCTGGTTCTAGTTTAACACTTTAAGTTTATTAATTAGATCAAAACTATTCTTTATAAAACTAGGAGTTTCTGATATAGAATCATTAATTAGGTTATGCAGAAACAATGATAGATTATATAAAGGGCTATTTGTAGATGAAACAATAATTCTAAGAGTATTCTAACTTTAAATTAAAGTTCTTTGCTACATTACTGACCCTTCTTTTGTACCACATTAAGTTATATATGTTCAGTGATGGCTCTTTAAGTTTCTAACATCCATATTCATAGTCCTTCCTTATTTTGAAGGAAGAATGAAGGAAGCTTTCATGAAGGATTCCTTGATTCTCCAAGGCTACCTTGTTCATAAATGGATTTCAAGTTTTCCTTCTCGAAGGAAGGAATATTTTAGAGATTTTAGTAACCTACTGAAGGCAGCATATCATAATATTAGGTGTAGTAAAAAGAAATCCATTATTTTTCCAATAGATGGCTTTAGTAATCTGTATCTCGCGAATGCAGAATTACAGATTACTAAAGCCATCTATTGGAAAAATAATGGATTTCTTTTTACTACACCTAATATATAGTATATGCACTTAATATGTGAATTACGAACAAACGTTATAAAGGCATTGTTGATTAAATAAAGCATCATGATTAAGCATTTTGCAACAATAATGGACAAAAATAAAAAAATCTAATGGCAAATTCGAACACTCAGTGCGCACATTAAAACTGCTACATACACAAAATAACATAAATATATAATTATAATAAAAAATATATTAGATAATCTGCTCGTATAAATTTCAAACAACAAAATAAGGAGTTTCTATCAGGTCATTTCAATAAACGAACTTTGAAAGGTGTAAACAGTAAACCTTTATTATTCTTTTATTATCATTTCACGGAACGTTTCGACCATACTAACTCCTCAGCCGTGTTTATAAATTAAATAATTTTTAACAATAATTTATATGAACATATTAAAAACTTAGAAATTAATTTCGATAATGGTAAAAACGTATAAAACGATAAAAAAATGTATTAATCAGATCATCTCGTCCATAATCACAATATGTGTTTCAAATTTACTTTACTCAGTATAACCATGTTATACCGAGTATAACTGAGTTAAATTATAAAAACTTATGGAACAAATTATAAAAAATTATGTAAATTGTAGATCCAAACCAATTCTTCGGTTAACAGCAAGAAAGGATAATTAATGTGTTCAGAAAAGAAAGTCCAGTCAATAACTTTAGTGGTAACATTATTTTCAATTGTATATATATATATGGTTGCACTATATTCGAAAGATATATATGTAACACGTGGTGCAGAACGAATAAACGGCTAATAAGAATTATAACTATTAGTAATAAGTGTCACAGAGTTGTACACATTGCGTTAATTTTTATAATAATTTGTGAAGTTAAACAAAAATTAAAATCCATAATGTAAATCGCAGATTTATGTAAAATGAGTATAATAATTTTTGAAGTTAAACAAAATCGTATAACATAACGAAATTTAAAAATTTTAAATGATAATATTGTTATAATGTTGCAATACAGTCACTTGTTAAAAAAAAACATTGAAGGGTTATAGCTGTCCCAATAATGCAATCACTTACAATGATACAGCAGGCAAAATATAAGATCCTATTCCCCATAATCTTTCCTTCCTTAACTTAATATCTTTACACATGTAATATCGAATTTTCTTAATAATGATGTAAACGATCACCGGATAGATAATAAATCGCAAATGCTGCTATGTGCGACGGATGAACAGAGAGAAACATACTACTCGCTAACGTTTTTGTTATTAACAAAGGTACTCAACAGATAAACATACAGATCGTCGAGAGATTCTATTCTTCTTTAAATTTGCACTATTAACCTACTCTTAATATACGAGGGCAAGGTAAAAAGTAATCGATCTCAACATGAAAACATGAACTATGTACAAAGTTTTTAGTTAAGTACCAAGTGTTATATATCAAATTACTCGCATTG